ATCAAGGATATTGGAAGATCTAAGCTGGATTCTCTACACCTTATTAATAATTAGCTATGTCACTGTGTCACTAGTCTGAGCCAGGAACCTTGATGTTCCCCACAGCCACAGCCGCACTGATCCAGAGTAAGCCAGTGCAGCTGAGAGGCTTGAAGGGGAGCTGTGCCCATCCTCTCCCTCACAACAGGGCCTACCTTGCAGATCTGAGCTCTGACACTTTCACATGGCCTCCTTTCCAACTCCCACACATGTGTGGGGCTTGAGAAAGATCAGGTTTCCTGCACAACCTGAAGTGCTGGAATGTGACATATACCTGTCACATTTGGGAGACCAGCAGCGTTGACTATTACTGAGACACTTCCCATAACAGTAAGCACACATCAAAACTACCCTACTGTTATACTTTGCCCCAGGGCTTGTATTTAATACTTACTCTTCTATCTTGAACTTTGTTGGCTCATGCAGAAAGATGTCTGTTTCTATACCCATCTCAAGCTGGGATTGGACTCCTAGTCTGTGAAGGCATGCAAGCTCCACCCACACTTGTGGGAACTCCAAAGTGGCCCAGAAGGTTTTGCAGGTCAGAGACAGGGAGTGTCTCCCCATACTGGGCTGTCCCACTGGTAAGGATCCTTCCCTTCTCCGTCTCCTAACAGATTCAGATTAATGATGGCTCATTCCTAATTGTCAAATTTCTTTTCCTTCATCCTGTGTCTAATCACCAGTGACAGAAACCATTACGCAAATGAGAGCAGACGACTTCCCCCAACTGTTCGCGTTGGTAAAAACCTTGTAATTTAGAGCTCTGATTTGTAGGGGAAGCTGGTCTCCCCCAGGCATCCTGGGCATCTGCTCAACTGATGCCCACAACAGCCCCTCCTCCACCTCATATCTCCAACCCCCCAGCAAATATTTGACTTCACAAAACAGTAGTTTTCACTGTACTGCTGGTGTAAAAATGGAAGCTTGCAACATAGCCAACCCCTAACAAGCCCAAGTCTCCACCTTCCTTGGCACATCTGACTCCCATGCTACCATTAGAATGGGTGAACACCGCAGCAGCAATGCTTCCTGTGTTGCAAGGAGAATCTGAGCCTCAACAGCCCTAACCTAGGTGAGGGAAGGCCATGCATCTCATCCCCAGGAGGAAGTGGCACAGCAGGGCATGAATCCAGTGATCTGGAGCTACTTCAACTCTGAAGCACAAGCCTGCTCAGAGGAGGAGCTATGGGCACTAAACTCAAGGGTACACAGTACCCCTCCCTCAGCAGATCCAGAACTCACTCTTCTACAGTTGCTCCCTGCACCCGTCTCTTGTTAAGAAGGCTTTCCAGGCAGCTTTTCCATGTCTCTAGCTGGAGCCCCCGAAGACTTTAACCCTTCCACACCCACTTGCCTGAGCCTGCCTGCACATTGCCTAGGGAACAAGACCAAGAAGAGGTAGAGAACTGACAGGATTTGGAAGAACCAAAGGCAGAGCAGGGCAGGGGCGGGTCTCTAGCCCAACAGACTAGGTTTGATCTTGACTGTCACTCTTCATCTCCTCTCAGCCGGTTCTTCATCTGTGAAGTGAGAAGCTGACATGCATGACTGTGAGGGACAGGGCTGAAGGCAACAGGCACACATCAGGTGTCTAAGATCAGGGGTAGCTATGGCATCAAGACCAATCCTGAGACGGTCCCAAAGTTTACTTCTTTTTCCTTGTCCCCAACCACCCTAGGTCAGACCTGTACCCTGAAGGATAAACCAAGCAGACCCAGATTCCCTCCTACAGATCCAACACCTTTGAGGGCAGAGCCAGGAACACAGAAGATCTGCTGAGAATGAAAACAGCCTGCTGATGGCCAGACTATCCCTGCTTTGCTTTGCTCTCTTGCTGCACTCCTCTTTCCCCAAAGAGATGAAGGCCATGGAGTTTACTGCAATCACAATGCCCAGCACTGGCTGTATTTGAAGAGCTACACTTGAGAGGGTACCATGTCTGCATACTCACATTGAATCAAAGCCCCCAGAACACGTACACAGGTGTGCACAAGCATACGCATGCATCTTCTCAGTCCATGGGGCACTGTAGGCTGAGCTTCAGGGCTAAGAGCCACAGCTCAGACAGTAGAGGTCAAACTTAGGGGGATGGGAGAAAACAGTGGGAAAGAAGTGAATAAAATTAGACTTCCCACTCAGATTTTAGAGAAAAAGATGATGGAGAAGGGACTTGAGGTAAGTGGACACAGGGCCACCACTCTGCCAAACTGCAGGGGCCCCATTCCCTCTGAACAGATGTGAACGATGGCACTCTGTTGTGTAACGTTGAGCTGCCCAGCTCTACACTGCAGCCCTGAGAAGGTTCCCATAAATAGCTACCAACAGAAAAGTAAACCCTACCCATGCTCTACCAGCTGGCCTACTCTAGCTGTCATGCAACGTTACGTTGGGTCTGGCAGAGGCGCTGGCTCTAAGAGGCAAGAGGACACTTTTGCCCTTGCCCTGAGGTGGATGAAAGGTATTGAGTTAGCTGCCTAAGTCTGATCCCATTTCATCTATTCAGCCAGGCAACTCAGCAGGAGCAGGGGATGTGGCCTGGACAGGGAAAGACACAGGACCTGGAGGCTCAAGCCAGTCAGCTTTAGGTAGGCTGCAGTGAGATCTGACCAAGATAGGATGGCTAAAATCCGAGTTTAAAAGCTATAGGCTAAGTCAGGCAGTATCTGGGGTTCACACTGTACTGTCACATTGGACAAGGTAAGCAGTAGAGAACCTTGGTAAGCAAGAAGGATGGCAAGTGTGAACACACACACACAGGTGTGCACAGGTATATACACACATGCAGAGGTCCATACCCCTGGAGCCCAAAGAAGTTAGAGTTAGAACTACCTCCATGCCTAGCACAGGGGCAAGAGCTGGTACTGAAAGAGAATAGCTGCATGTGTCTGCAATTTGGAACATATGCACAATCCTCTGTTCTTAGATTCTCAAGGTTACCTTCTATGTATGGCTTGAGTCTGTAGTTCTCAACCGGACCCCTATCTAATCCTCTTCCACCAGAAGGCTATCTGGTCTCCCAAAGACAAGCCTCCTTCTAGTGTCCCCACTGGGACCCAGCAGCTATTGCTACCTGGCCTGTAGCCTGACTATGCTGCAAAAACTGGCAGAAGGCAGACTGATGAGCAGATTCATTCTGGCACCACAACCCAGATGTAGGAGGGATACAGGAGCATCTCCTCTCTCAGGCTGAGGCACTGAGGCTTCAGGAGACAGGAGCTGAGATCCAGAATGATATCCTGGTCCAGGAAGAGGGAACTTGGAACAGATACATGCATGTGTGTGTATACACATGCATATGCACACATGTACACATACACACACCCTGAGGTTGACAGACTAACACAGACATGATGACAACCAGAAGCTGGAACTCCACACACTGAATGCAGGACTTTAGGGGGGCGAAGAGGGAAGGTTCTGGGGCTCAAAAGGCAAGGGTGAGAAATCTTTCCAAATGGGAGTGGAGTCATCTACCCTGCCTCGCCCCAAACACCTGCCTCCAGGGCCATGGCAAGAGTCCAGTCCATTAAGTGCAGCGTGCAATACTAGTGCTTGGAGTGTCCTGTCCTCATCAACGAAGCATGTGGACGAGATAGCAGTCACCTGGCAGGAGGCCTTGACCTCTGGCAGGTTAGTTGTAACGGCCTTTAATCATGGTGTTCAACAAAGGCCCCACCTGTAAAGAGATAATATGAGGAGCCCATCAGAACTGCCTGTCTCCTGATCCTACAGTAAGACTAAATGTGCCTGGAGACATTCAATATTTAGCCATGGACAAGGACAAGTAATCACTGGACCTTGTTCTAATCAAGTTTCCTGAATGTCAACTTAGTATTCTAGGGCATGACCCTTTGGAGGTCCAGTTTATTTTTCCTTCCCTTTTACAATACCCTGTGTATCTACAAGCAACACCCATCAGACAGAATACAATGATCCGAGGACCAGTGAACACCCAAACACCTGCAAGTGTGTCTGCATGTTTCTCCAATGTACCAAGAATTTTAAATGGTTCTCTACTCTAACAAAAGGCCACCTGCAGTTAGTCTTGGTGCTCTCAACCACTTAGGCATCTCTGATGTTGAGGCTAACCAGTAGAAGGGGGTAAGGCAACTAAAATTCAAACCTCCTTCTTTTACCCAATGGACCAGTGATATACCTGGGTGAGAAGCAGGGCTCAACACTACCTAGAGCAGCCCTGACCCAACTGGGAGTGCACAAGAAGACGCTTTATTACACACTTTCCATTCCAGAAGAATCCTCTCAGGGGTCCCCAGATGGCACACGCGCCCCAAGGCAGACATTACTACTAGCATGGAACGGATTATAATGGATCCACCAGTCAAGCCCAGCTCTCATCAGAAAACAAGATTTCCTAAATATACAAATAAAGTCTGTGAAGAGAAAGCAGCCACTGAGACAAGGGGAGCTCCAGAGAGCATCACCAGCCCTTACCTCTTGTGGATTCCCCAAGGCCTCTCCAAGCATCTTCTCAATGTTTCTCATGATGGCTACTTTCTGATGAGCTTTGAGAGGATATTCAATTCTCTTAGGGGTAGGAGCCCCCTACAAAGGAAGCAGTAGCTCAGGAAATACCTTTAACACAGGCTTTCAGCTCTAGTACCATATTTGCTTCTAAAAAAAACAGTTTAATTGTATTCTTCTCCATCTCTGTGCAAACAACTTCCAGGCTAACCCACAACCCATCCCAGCCAAAACCACTCACTTACTATGCTATACCTTCTTCACCCCAGCCCCAGTTCCATATGGATACATACACAAATAAATGCCTCCCCCCTCTCTCTCTATGCCTCCCTCCCTTCCTCCCTCCCTCCCTCCCTCCCTCCCTCTCTCTCTCTCTCTCTAAATGCCTCCCTCCCTCCCTCCCTTTCTCTCTCTCTAAATGCCTCCCTCTCCCTCTCTCTCTCTGTGCACACGCGTGTGTGTTTGTGTGTGTGTGTGTGTGTGTGTGTGTGTGTGTGTGTGTGTGTGAACAACAATAACAACAAAACCCACTAATATTCACCTTATACCAGAAGTTCACAGTGATGGTAATTCCCCCATTTAGTAATGACTCTATGTGGTGCCACCTATTAAAAAGAAAAGAAAGAGTCTCCTGTTTACTTTCCAGAGACAAGGATGGAAAACTAGCATAGCCTAGCTAAGGGAAACAGTGAAGCAGGAGCTTTATGCTCATCCTGTAAAACAACAGTGGGCCAGAAGCCAGAGGCTGTGACGTTCAGTCTCCAAATACTGAAGAGGTGGATACAGAAACTACAGATCTCTTTCAATTTGAGCAACTGTCTTCCTTTCCTAAGAGACAGAGTTGTCCTCTATGCTTAGTATGCTTATGTCTGGACATGCTAGTCTTCCTGCAGGCTAATCCTACAACTAAGAAGGGACACAGATAAAGCTTTCTGGGACCAGGAAAGAAAGTATTCCCAAGAGGCCCCCATCCCTAGCCTCCTCACCAGTACATTGGGATGTAAAGAACATCACCAGGGCCAACCACTGTTTCATAACCAACCACATTTCGGAAATTAGGAAAACTCTCGTAGTCAGGATTGTCAAAGTCCACCTAAAGGTCAAGAGAAAGAAAAAAGATCAATTAAAGCTTGCTGTGGCAGCTTAAAGAAAAGAGAGACTTAAAAAGTAACTTCAGAGTTTGTATGCAGAAGATACAACAGATATTAACTGCCCCTCTCAGAGAACAACTTAAGGAAGTCCATGCTCATTTGTTACACGCTAAGTAATTCTAGATTTCAGTGCTCCTGAGCTCTAAAGAACTCCTCAAAAGCCTTAGGATATGAGGAGTTAGGATCATCTGTCACCCAAACCTGTCCAAATGTTTTCTCCCAAACAAATCCTGACCAGGAGACTCCTGCATGAAGGAGCAAGGCAACTGTCTCCTCAGGAAGAGATGTTGGGAGCTGGAGAGATGGCTCAGCAGTTAAGAGCACTTGTTGCTTTTGCAGAGGACCCAGATTTGGTTCCCAGCACCTACATGGTGGCCTCACAACCATCTGTAGCTCCAGTTCCAGGGAATTCAACATCCTTTTTTGACCTCCACAGGCACCAGGCATGCACATGGTGCACATACATACATACATGCAGGCAAAACACTCATACACAGAAAATATTTTATTTACCTATCTCCCTATCAAAAAGTAGTAGCATATATGATAAAAGAAAACAATTATTAAAGTCAGTGAAGGCATTCATATTTTGATGAAACTGAGTCAAAAAAAAAGCAAACTAAGTAATCTGAGTCTACCAACATTAATGATGGAGTTTGCCTCCTAACAATTAGCTCTGTTTATACTTACAAATGTTTGGGGATCATCACAGGAGCCTGGAACATGTAGGCTACACTGTGAAATTATTCTCTGGACTTGTTTGTAAGGCAAGACCAGCCAGAAATGCAGACCTGACATACCCCCAAAGAGAAGGGCTAGTATTCCAGCCTCTGATCTCAAAGGCATTTTTAGAACCTGGAGGTCTATACCCTTGTCAGACCACATAGGCTCACCTGGCTTTGCCTGTCACAGGGATGATGGACAGGATATGGATAGAGGCACTCAAACTGATCTGGAGGGAATAAGATGCATCGCTTATGGCCTTTTATCTGGGCAAAGAAGTTCTGCTGCTCATCATAGTGAGCAGGTGTCACGTTTCCTGTAAGAAAGAAGACATTTTCTTAGCTGAGGCAGTAGATATACTGCACAGGTCAGACACAGACAGAGCCTAGTGCTGGAGTGAAGTCTTGATGTTCCCCCAGCTAAAAGTCAAAGTAAATTGCAATTTCAACTCTTAGTAAATCAGGTGTCCTATTTCATGAGCAGTAGACTCTCGCAACCCCCGATGGGTGAGGTCATCATCAGTTAGCAGACTGTCCTCAGTGGTGACTGATGCCCTGAGTGGCAGCAAGAGCTCACTAAACAAGTCTGGCAGCTGACAAGCTTGTACTCTTCCTGACTATGGCAAGAATCCATGGGCACTGACATGGCTGATACCAACAGTACACATGATCTTCTCTGAGGTGCTAACTAGTGACTTTGGGTTCTAGGAATATGCTCTTGCTTCAGGGAGCTCTTCTGGAGCCCAAAGATTCTCAACTGCTGTTCTCACTTCACCACACCTATGGGACACAGCATCACTCAGAGCAACACTGGGGCTCACTGAGGCTGCTGACTCTCAATGAGAGAAAGATTACTAAATTACTGAAGAAAGGGTGGTAGAGTTTAAGAGACATTGCTTAGAATGTCACCTTGACTAGGCACTGTAATGCCAGCATGGACAACTTAATGAGACCCTGATTCAACATGAAAATGTTTTTAAAATGGCTGGGACTGTTCAGTGGTGCAGCACTTGCCCAGCAAGCACAGGGCCTATGTTCAAGTCCCAGCACCACAAGTTTTAATATAAATACCCGCATACATATATTGCTACCTTGAATTAGTTCTGCCCTAATGCACATTTCATCTATTCCTGCATAACTAGGATCACATCTGTATATTCTGTGTAATCTCTGATTTAAAAAACATTTGCAGATGGACGTGGTGGTGATTACATGCCTGTAATCCTGGTACAAGGGAGGCTGTGCAAAAGGACTGCTGAGAGTGTGAGGATACCTTGAGCTACATGGGAAGGAAGCTCCAGGACAACCTGCGGTATATAGTGAAAGCCTGTCACAAACAAAACAAAACATCCTGCGAGCCAGCCAAATATGCCAAACAACTGTCTTCCTACTGGACAGTCCAAGGGCACCCTCAAACAAAAGAGGCCTCTGCTTCCTGGCACCTGGCCACAGCAAAGGAAAGCAATGGGATTAACCCAGAGCCAAGGAAATCAGAGCTGTATTCTTTCTGAAAAGCCAAAACTTGGTTTTAAAGAGCAGTAAGTGCTGAAATACCAATGAAAGAAGATTGAGGGCTCAATTAGGTCAATGACATCAAATAATTATTCTGTTTTTTTGTTCAACCATGTTTACGCACCACTTAGCACACAGCTGTAGATGGTCTAGCCCTGAGCTGGCACTGGAAATGGAAAGAGAATAACCCTGAACAGCACTCACACACTTCTTCCTACTCAAAACAGAAGACGGGGCTGGAGAGGCAGCTCAGGGGTTTAGAGCACTTGTTCCTTTGGTAGAGGACCAGGGTTTGATTCCTAGCACCCACAAAATGATTTACAACCATCCTACTCCAGTTCCAGGGGATCTATTGCCCCTTTCTGATGTACCAGGCATACAAATGGTGCACATGCATATACATACATACATGTAGGCAAAACATTCATACACATGGAAAATTACAAATTTAAAAACCATTAAAAAATCACAACATATTTACTTATGTGTATATATACATAGCAAGATATACAAACTAGTATACCATGAAGTGCCTCTAGAGACCGAAACTGAGAGCCTGGGAGTAAAGGGAGGAGAAGATGGATAGCTAAAACCTATTTGTATCCTTTCAATTTTGAATTCCATAAATATTTATTTAAGAGATAAGGTTTAACCATATTATAAGTGTTTTTGCCAGGCATTGTGGCCCATGCCTTTAATCTCAGAACTCAGGAGGCAGAAGCAGGTGAATCTCTGTGAGTTGGAGGCCAGCCATGTCTCTACAGCGGGTTCCAGGACAGTCAGAGCTAAATAGTGAAACCCTGTCTTTAAAAAAAAAAGTTTCCATTTTTACAGGAGTAAAATCCCCTCAATATACTGAGAAGCAATGACATTTCAAGGAGGCCTCTCTATCTCAGCGCCTGTTCTCACACAGCAACTGAGAAAGGAAAAGAATATTTTGTTTTGTTTTGTTTTCCAAGACAGGGTTTGTCCTGGAACTCACTCTGTAGACCAGGCTGGCCTTAAACTCAAAAGAGATCTGCCTGCCTCTGCCTCCAAGAGTGGGGATTAAAGGCGTGTGCCACCACTGCCCAGAGAGAAAGGAAAAGAAATGTCTTAAGACTGCATGACACTATCTAAGAGACTTAAAATATACATTATTTCATTTAACTGTGGCAGCCATTTATAATAAGCTTTTTCCTCAGCAGATGAGGGAGCTGTGGCCTTAAAAAGTTCAGTGACTTATTCAGAGTCTTGGAGCTAGTAAGTGGAGGAGAAGGATTAGAGATCAGGTTTGCAGGAGGTGAGGCCACGCTTTCCGAAACATTTCTTACCTTCCATGCCGATGAGCAGCAGGTTAGAGGTCAGCTGCCCCCAGCCACGTTTTCCCTGTTGCTTATTAATCCAGTTCCAGTTAAAACCCAAGAAGTCCATGACAATCTTCCTTCCCACGGTGTCATTGAGCGTTTGTTGCAGATACAACCTACATTCCCCAAGAAAAAAAATTCCATCAGTGTGCCAGATCAGTCCCTGGTATGACCTCTCCATCTGGAAACCCAAATCTGATACTAGCATCCGCAACAGAGAACAGCTGTAGCCATGCAAGACTTCAACAAGGATTCACAGAGCTGAATTCTTTCTCCCTGTCTAAGGTCTGCTCCACAACAAGTTCTTTAAAGATTTGTTTCTTAACACCTGGGTCAGTACAGGTTGCCTAAGAATCCAATGCGTCACACAAGAATGTGCACAAGGGAAACACCATACAATTTAGTTTCCTGGAAGCCTATCCTTTCAGACTCTTGAGACCAGACACATCTCCTTTAGCCCTTGATGACCACTGTGGCCTATTCTAACACTCTCCTTCCTTGTGAAAAGTTAACTCTTTGGTGCCCACTTAAGACGGTCTTATTTAACTTGCTTTAACCAATGAAATGCCCACAGAGGGACTTGTGTTGTTGCTTCCAAGTATAATTTTAAGAAAACACTCCACATTACCATTTTCCCCTTTGTTACACCCAACTGCAAGATTCTAGATTGTAACTACTGGGGCAATTTGTGTCCAAGAATCAACAAGATGATGTGACCCACGACAAACATACATGAGAGTGAAAAATAATGGACTTTACTGCCTTAAATCTTACCTAACAGTTATGGCAAAATTAATTAGAAATCTCAGTAACTTGGAAAAGCCAGCTACAAGCAACCTTCAAGACTCACAATAACAGAGGCTGGCCTTGAATTCCTGATTTTTCTGCCTCTACTTCCTGAGTGCTATGATTACAGGTATTTGCACACCATGCCTAGTTATAACATGCCTAGTTATAACATAGATATTTAAAAAAAAGTTAGAGACACTTCCAGAAATGAATATAAACAATATTTCTATTACAACTGAATAATAAAAGCTCAAATATTTCACAGCATACATGTGGAGGTCAAAAGGCAACTTGTGGGAACTGGTTCTCTTCTTCCACCATGTTGGTCTTGGGAATAAATTCACGTTGACAAGCTGAGGACTAAGTCTCTTTACCCACTGAACCACCTCACTGGTCCAGACATTTAAAATTTTATTCACTTAAGTACGTGCTGCTGACAGGACGTCAGAAAGAGAATGAAGATAGGAGGCTACAGAGAACTCCAAACATGGCCACCAAATGTAGGACAGTCATTCACTACTAAGTACTGAGCAAAAGAAAGTCTTCCAGGGGCAATTTTACACTGTGGGACTGACTGGAACCTATATAACTAGCTGTCCTCAAAAGTGGAAATAAAAACAAAGAAGAAAGAATCACTCTGCCAAATGAGTTTTGGTTACTGGTTCAAAATAAACCATCTGTTCTGATCTTCCCAAAGCTAAAGGATCCTGATACCCCTTAACCCCAAATCATAAAAAACTACTTAACCCAGACAGTATTCAAGAACCAAGACTGCAAACTGTCAATTTCAGAGCTAAATCCAACAAGCAATTATTCTCATTCTTTCATGCTCGCTCTCTCTCTCTCCCTCTCCCCCCCCCTCTCTCTCTCTCTCTGTGTGTGTGTGTGTGTGTGTGTGTGTGTGTGTGTGTTTCAAAAGTCAGAAGCAGTGCTGGATAGCTCAGTGGTTAAGAGTACTGGCTGTTCTTCCAGAGGTCCTGAGTGTAATTCCCAGCAACTACATGACATCTGGAAACCATCTATAACAGGAGCTGATACCCTCTTCCAGGCTGCAGGTATACATGCAGAGCATTCATACATAAAATATAAATAAAATAAGATAAAAAGGTCAGAAGGGCTGGAGACATGGCTCAGCAGGTAAGAGCTCCTGCAGAGAGGACTGGGGTTCGGTTCCTGGGACCCACATGACAGTTAACAACCGTCTGTAACTCCATTTGCAGAGGATGGAGTACCTTCTTCTGGCCTCCATGGGCACTGACTATACACGCACACAAGATATACATACAGGCAAACACCCATACATGTCTCTGATCCCAGCACTCAAGGCAGAGACAAAAGGATCTTGGTCTATATGGCAAGTTCCAGGCCAGCCAGAGTTAGAGTGAGACCCTGCCCCACACACCCCAAAACAACAACACAAAACCAACACCCATACACATAAAATACATCCCCCCCCCAAATTCAAAAGGTTTTAAATAAGATTTTCACTTTGAGCTTATCTTGAAAACTTGGAACCCTGGGACAGCCCTCCCAAATGGAATGCTTGCCTTCAGCCTTATGGTACTTTCTGCCTAGACATATTCAAGCCTTTCATCTGATAGACCCTGCAAGGCAACCGTCACTCGAACTACCTAAGACAGGCAATCAGATTCACTGTTCAAGGCTAATATCATTCTCATCCCTCAAGTTTCTAGAAAGAACCACCAAGGACTCAAAGCCCTTACAGGACAGTAGAGCAGAACTGTCATTCGTTCAGTAATGGAACCAGATTCTTAGCCAATTCCACCACACCTTCAAACAAGCACAGGAACGTGAGCGGATGCCCTAATTCTACCGACTGGGCAACTTACCGCTCTTCTCCCCCTCGATGCTGTATATCCTGTAGTTTCTCAACAAACTCATGAAATTTAATTTCCTCCCTGCTGGACCTTGGTTTGAAGTTCTGGAAATTAGTCATCTTCTTTTCATCATAGTACAAAAACTTATGGGTGCTGGCACTGTAAACAGAGAAATCTCCGTTGCCAATATTCTCTTGCAGGTATTCTAGGTCCCACTTCAGAGCAGGGTACACAAGGTTTGTGTCGGTCAGCACCACAGGCTCCTAAGCAAGAAGAAAAGAAAATCAGAAAAGTCAGGGAATTCCAAGGAGTTAATCACTTCTTTCCGACGATATTTGCACTTGTCAAGCTCACAACAATTTCTCCTGACATGCCACCTGTCTTTCCCGCCCCCTAGGTCTCAGTCCGCAGCCCCGCCAGTTCCCCACCGCCCCCCTAACTGGGTCCCTTCCTCCACCCCTTCAGCAGCAGCCCCGCCCCCACCTCATTTTCGATGAGCTCTTCCGCCCGAGGGTCGCTCTGGCTCAGACGTGGGATGGGCCGGGTCGGGAAGCTGTAACTTCGTAGCTGGGACTCATCCCAGGCGGGACCTGGAGCTCCCGCCTCTTCCCGGGGCTCTCCAGAGCCAGAGGCTGTATCCTCGGCCGCTGTCCCATCTCTGCTCTAGGGACGGCCCCGCCGGAAGCGGAAGCCCCACCCCTTCCGGAAGCAACCCCGACGCACACCATAGAGATGAGCTGCGAGAGGTGGGGCCCCGGGTGGAAGGAGCTCTCCCGAACGGTGACCTGCAGCACTGCAGCCTAGGCTCCGCTCTGGGCCGACCCGATTAGATCCTCAGAAAAGAGATTAACAATATTAAAAATAATAATGAGACTAACGAAATATGCACAAGCCTACAGAGGCAAAGGAGGAGGCAAGTATAATTATTAAACTTTGCTCTCATGGGTGCGGAGAGAAGCCAACGTTAGACCCACTGAAGGAGTCGCTAGAAAAAAACAATTATCACGTAGATCTTGGATAAAGCTTAGACAGATGATTAGTAGCAAGCTGAATCAAGGGAAGAAAGATCAAGGGCTTTTATAGTTCCAGCTACTCCAGAGGCTGAAGCAGGAAGCAAGATCACTTGAATTCAAGAGTTCAGAGGCAGCCTGGGCAACATGGCAAGCCACCATCTCTTAGATATTTTATTTATTATGTATACAACATTCGGCTTCCATGTATATCTGCACACCAGAAGAGGGCACCAGATCTCATAGCGGATGGTTGTGAGCCACCATGTGGTTGCTGGGAATTGAACTCAGGACCTCTGGAAGAGCAGTCAGTGCTCTTAACCTCTGAGCCATCTCTCCAGCCCCAGCCACCGTCTCTTAAAAAAATAAAAATAAAATAAAACCAAGGGAAGAATTATTTTATTTAGTATCACTTGAGGGTTTTATTTTTTTTGCATATGTAACCATCTCTCCTATTAAATATATTCTTGCAACAAGACCAATGTTATTTAATCACAGGCATCCACATTTTTAAAAAAATATACTGGTTATAAAAGACTATATCGATTGCTTTGCTTGCTTACTCGATAGTACTAATGTCTGCTCACAGGAGGCCAAAATTTGCACCCACTTAAATATGTCCTATTTAAGTCGCTTCCCCTTAAATGCCAGCAGGACCTGTGAATATGACAGGGTAGTATTCCTGTAATTAGATTCATTATATGACAAAGATGTAGTCAAAGTCCCTAACCACTCACTTTCAAGATCATCAAAATGGAGACCTATCTTGAGTAGGGCTGACATTACCTCTCTAGCCCTTTAAATCTGGGCTTATGGGTCAGAAATAGAAGTCTTGAAGATTTGAAGCCAAAGCACATGCTGTCTGGTTTGCCTTGAAGGACCATATATGCCACTTGGCAGAGAATGGCAGGTGAATTCTTCACTAGCTGAGAAAGACTAACAAAGTGAGGAACAAGCCTTACAAATTCAAATCATTGAATTCTGCTGATAACTTCCATGCTTATATAGAGAGCCTCAGATGACATGGGGAACACCCTGATTTCAGAGCAGTGGGACCCTGGGAAATGTGAGAAAATAAGTTGGTATTGTTTGGGCTACTAATTTTATGACTTATTTAAAGAACACTAGAACAAAATTTACTTAATATGCAGCAATAGAAATTAATACACTGTCATAACTATATAATTATGCTGCATAGTAACTATAATATAACCAACTGATAACAAAGTTATCTCTGTGAAGGGGTTTGGTTGCAGTCAAGGTTTTATCTGCAATGTTTGAATTTTTCCAAATACATCAATTTATAACACTGGAAATTAAAAATAAGTCAGACCTAGAAGTTCATATCACTAAAATCAGGAATGAATGCAGGAACATAGTATAGACTTTACAATTATAAAAAGGAATATATAAAATACTATAAACAAGTGTATGTAAAAATAGAGAATCTAGATGAAATAGAGGAATTCCTGTAAAAACAAAACTATAATAACTAATTCAAAAATAAACAGAAAAATATAACGACTCATATCAAAACTACATTAGGAAAAAATTCAAATACCATATAAAAAGCCTAAAACAATATGAATTCATTGATGAATCCTACCAAATACTTAAAGCAGAATTAATAACAATCCTCAGGAACATAGGAGGACGGAAGACTTCCAGATTCATTATGAGGCCAGCATTACCCGATACTAAAACGAGATGAAGATAGTTAAAAAAGCAGGTCAGGCTGGGTGGTGGTGCTGCACGCCTTTAATCCCAGCTCTCGGGAGACAGAGGCAGGCGGATCTCTGTGAGTTCGAGACCAGCCTGGTCTCCAGAGCGAGTGCCAGGATAGGCTCCAAAGCTACACAGAGAAACGACAGCCTCCAAAGCTACAGAGAGAAACCCTGTCTCCAAAAACAAAAACAAAAACAAAACAAAAAAAGAAAAGAAAAGCAGGTCAATATCCCTTATGAATACACATTCAAAAGTTCCCAGCAAAATAAATCTAATACCATACAGAAAGGTTAAGGCACCATAACAAAATGAATTTTTTTTGGAATGCCTGGTTTATTTAACATTTGAAATGTTAATCAATGTAATCTATTAATAGAAGAAAAATACCACATGGTCATCTTAATATTCACAGTAGAACCTTTTGGGAGACTTTAACATGATATTTTTCATGATAAAGCAGAGTTCCAAAGAACATCACTGAGACAGTACAAAGGACAGCAATAGTGATGCATTTATTTAACATTTGAAATGTTAATCAATGTAATCTATTAATAGAAGAAAAATAAATGGTCATCTTAATATTCACAGTAGAACCTTTTGGGAGACTTTAACATGGTATTTTTCATGATAAAGCAGAGTTCCAAAGAACATCACTGAGACAGTACAAAGGACAGCAATAGTGATGCATCTCAGTTGGCAGAGTGCTTGCTAGCTGGCACCAAGTGCTGGGGATGCTGCCAAGCTCCACATGAACTGGCCATGGTAGTGTGTGCCTACAACCCTAGTGCTTTGGAGGTAGAGGCAGGAGGATCAGAAGCTCAAGATCATCCTCAGGTATATAGCAAGTTCAAGGGAAGCCTGGTCTATATGAGTCTGTCTCAACAAGAGAAAGGCATGTACCACCACTGCCTAGCTATTTCTCTCCTTTCATCTTTATTTTTTTCATTCTCTTTGCTACATATCACAAGTCATCAAAGTTAAGCAAATGAAAATGAGATACTGCTATCATTTGGGTGTGTTGCTCTAAAAAAAGTATGTGTTGGAAATTTAACCCCCAATGTAAATGTTGAGAAGCGAAGCTTAATGGGAGGTCACATTCACCTTCATGAATGAGTTTCCCTTATTATAAGAAGGCTAGAGTTCAACTGATACTTTTACATGTGGTCCCTGGCCCTTCAACTCCTGCCTTTTGCCACCGAATAACATATCAGGAGACAATCACCAGGTGTCCACTTCTTAACCTTGGATCTCTCAGATCCATCCAAAAGATGGATCTCGGTTTTTAAAAGTTCCTAGTCTCCGAACAGTGCAAGAAAGATGCCATCCATAGTTGAGGTCACATTCACCTTCATAATGAGTTTCCCTTATTATAAGAGGGCTAGAGTTCAACTGTTACTTTTGCATGTGGTTCCTGGCCCTTCAACTCCTGCCTTTTGCCACCGAATAACATATCAGGAGATAATCGCCAGGTGTCCACTCCTTAACCTTGGATCTCTCAGCATCTAGAAGTGTAAAAGATGGATCTCAGTTTTTAAAAGTTCCTAGTCTCCGAACAGTGCAAGAAAGATGCCATCCATGCCCACAAGGCTGGTTTTAACAGAAAAGAAAGTAGCAAGTGTTGACGAAGACAAAAAGACACTGGGGGCCGGGGGGAGGGGGGATAGATGGATGGATGGGAACCGGTGCAGCTACTTTGAAAAAACATCTTGGAGTTTTTCAGAGAAGGAATCATACAAGACATCCTATTACTGTGCAAATCTATTCTCAGGACATAGCCGACAGAATTGAAAACATACATCCAAGCTTGGTGTGATGTCTCTGTAATCCCAGCACTTGTAGACCAGGGCAGGAGGGTCTCAAATTTGAGGCTATTCAGGGCTCCAGAATGCGTTCAAGGACAGCCTGAGTTACAGAGTGAGACCTTGCCTCAAGAAGCTAGAGAACAAGACCAAAAAGCAAGACAAACCCACAAATCAAGAAAAAAAGAAAATATACTATGTACACTCACAGAAAACCTGTACAACAATATTTTTTGTAGCATTATTCACAATAATCCCAAAGTGAAAACAACCCAAATGTTCATTAATTGATATGTATATAGTATTGTATATCCATACAATAGACTAGAGCAAGACAAACCCACAAATCAAGAAAAAAAGAAAATATACTATGTAAACTCACAGAAAACCTGTACAACAATATTTTTGTAGCATTATTCACAATAATCCCAAAGTGAAAACAACCCAAATGTTCATTAATTGATACGTATATAGTATTGTATATCCATACAACAGACTATCACTTAGCCATAAAAATAAATGAAACATTAAAACATATCACAATGTGTGGGAATAGAGAAAATGTGCTAGTTGGTATGAGAATTTTTCTGAGGGAGTGATGAAACATTTTAGAATTAGATCAAAATGATAGTTACACACCTTTATAATGTACAGAGACAATGTAATGAGACAGAGTCTTGTGTAACTCAGATTTGCCTTAAACTCATTATGTAGCTCAGGCTGGCTTTGAACTCCTAATTTTTCTGCCTTCACATCTCAAGTGTTGACATTACAAAAGGTATACACCATCACGTGAAGCTTGTTGTATTCGTTACACGTTGTGGGGCTGGAGAGCTGTCCCAAAGGTTATGAGTACTGGCTACTCTTCCAGTTGACAAGAGGGCCAGGACCAGTGTTCAATCCCTAACACCCGCATGAGGACCAACAATCCACTCACTGTAAGTGTGGGATCTCCTCTAACTCCAGTTCTAGGGATCTGGTGCCCTCTTCCGCCTCCTCCAGCGCTTCATACATACGGTGCACGTATGTATGTACGCAAATACACACGTAGGCGAAAACACCCACACACATACATAATTTTCTTTAAAAAAGAATAAATTATATTGTGCATAAATGACATCCTAAACAACTTAGATTGGTATTGTTTCTTGGGCTTGCTACTAATTAAATGCAGATGTTGCCAAATTAATTCTGTTGATGTCTAGCGACTCTACAAGAGGACAAAATGCGCTGCAGTAATCCTCCCCAAATTTATACATTGATTACTATGTCTGTGTTTGTCGCTCTTTAAGAACGGATTCTATTTCAGTGATTTTTGTCCTAAGAGTTGATAGAAATATGTGCGTACTCATAAAATGTAAAAAATATCCAAACCCTACTCGAGTAAGTAAAATGAAAACTTAATAGTATGCAAACATGTCTTCCAGGCTACTGTGTTAGAGTTTGTTAATTGTGTTGGGTTTGGAATCTGTTTTTCCTGGCCAATGGCAGGTTCGGGGCAGTGTCGGGAGAGCCGCCTCTGGCAATAGGCCTGGTTTTACATTTGTTGGGGGGTGAGGTGACTGGGACGTTTAGATGAATTGCGACTAAGGATCTAACTCCGAGCATCCAAGAAAAGAGGTCAACCGATTTGGAGAAAGGATCAAACAAAACCAAGAACTAAATCTGAAAGACGACTACGCGTGAGGACGAAGGCAGAAACGTCGATGGGGGCGAGGAGGGGAGACAGGCAACTTGAGGAAAGAGTAAGCCTATTTTACTTTGGCCGTTTGTCTGAAATGTTTTCTGGGGGCTCGCCTGAAAGGGCCTCAGTCAGCTGAGGGCGAAAAGCAACAACAGCACAGCTTGAAAGAGCAAACCAGAAGCAGCTTTGTTTTCTCTCCTTCTTGCCATCCGCTCACCGCCCAGGCTCTACCACGGCT